CTTATCCACTTGAAATATACCGGGCAGAAAACAGTGTAGAGTTTTAACAGTTTAATGCTGTTATTGTAGCTTCAAGCAAATTAAAGCGTGAGGTATAAGAGTTGTTTTATATTTATTAATACAAGCTCTATATTTAAATATGTATTTACAAGTATATATATATATATATATATATATATATATATATATATATATATATATATATATATATATATACTAGGCATTCTGCCTAGCTTCGCTTAGGTTTTCAAAAACATTTGAGAATTTGAATACTAATTGTTTGGTGATGGATGAGGCGTGGAGTTCTTAAATCTAAACAGCAATGCTAATTTTAGAGAAGATGTTGTTGTATGTTGTGTAATATTCGCTTTCAGAGAAAGCATTCGAAAGTACGCAATTTATAATTAAAATGGAAATAGAACTACAGAGGTTCCATGAACAGTATATCTCACAATTTATATTACATTGACTTTTAAAATTAATTTTTTATTTAATTATGATACGTAGCTTAATTAGCAACGTATTTTATTCTAAAACAAATGCTATACTTTGTCGTTTTCTGTTTCTGTTTAAAAAAGTATACAATTATTTGAAAAATAATTATTTAAAAAGGTTACCTCCCTTGAAAATTAACCGAATGACGTATGTCTGTTTACTTTTTTTTTTAAACAGTTACTATGCTTATATAAGAAAATACGATATATAAACATATTTAACATCTACAATGGCTTTTTCCGACGGGAATAAAGTTTTTTTGTTACCCTCCAGGGTCGGTCTACGACCTCAAATAATATTAAGGGGATCAATTTATTTATATATATCTCATATAAGGAGAATTTCACTCGCGGTCATCTTTCAGCACTGGTCGAGGGCTTTGAGTCTGTCCAACAGTTTTTCCATACGGCCTAGTCATCTATAGAAGTGTTTGCAAAATATTAGCATGATGTACAGAGGTTAAGTAACGTAAAAATTGTGTTGAAATTACCCTGTTTTTCCCATAAAATACAAAGATTATATAGGGAAATACGACTGGTCAGTTTTGACCGCTTTACGAAGTTTTCCCAGATATGCCGAGTTTTTTGTGACACCCCTAGGTGTTCTTCTACCACCTCACAAAATATCAAGGGGGGTCGTCGGAGGAATTTTTTTTTCGTAATAGAGCTCATATAAAGAGAATTTCACTCGCGGTCACTTTTTAGTCCTCGTCGAGGGCTTTGAGTGTAACCGACAGTTTTCCCTAAAGGTCAATCCATTGACCTAGGAGCATGCAAAAAATTAGTCAGATATACTGAGCTTAAGTACCCTAAAGTCTGCGTTGAAATGACCCTCTGTTTTTCCCATTAAAATACAAAGATTATATAGGGAAATATAACTGGTCAGTTTTGACCCCTTTACGAAGTTTTCCCAGATATGCCGAGTTTTTTGTGACACCCCAAGGTGTTCTCCTACCACCTCACAAAATATCAAGGGGGGTCGTCGGAGGAATTTTTTTTTCGTAATAGAGCTCATATAAAGAGAATTTCACTTGCGGTCACTTTTTAGCCCTCGTCGAGGGCTTTGAGTGTAACCGACAGTTTTCCCTAAAGGTCAAGCCATTGACCTAGGAGCATGCAAAAAATTAGCCAGATATACTGAGCTTAAGTATCCTAAAGTCTGCGTTGAAATGACCCTCTGTTTTTTCCATAAAATACAAAGATTATATAGGGAAATACAACTGGTCAGTTTTGACCCCTTTACGAAGTTTTCCCAGATATGCCGAGTTTTTTGTGACACCCCAAGGTGTTCTCCTACCACCTCACAAAATATCAAGGGGGGTCGTCGGAGGAATTTTTTTTTCGTAATAGAGCTCATATAAAGAGAATTTCACTCGCGGTCACTTTTTAGCCCTCGTCGAGGGCTTTGAGTGTAACCGACAGTTTTCCCCAAAGGTCAAGCCATTTACCTATAAGCATGCCAAAACTGAGCCAGATGTAAAGAGGGTAAGTGCCATAAAATCCGTTTTGAAATGACCCTCTGTTTTCCCCATAAAATACAAAGATTATATAGGGAAATACGACTGGTCAGTTTTGACCCATTTCCCGATTTTTCCCGGACATGGCGAGTTTTTTGTGACACCCCAAGGCGTTCTCCTACCACCTTACAAAATATCAAGGGGGGTCGTCGGAGGAATTTTTTTTTCGTAATAGAGCTCATATAAAGAGAATTTCACTCGCGGTCACTTTTTAGCCCTCGTCGAGGGCTTTGAGTGTAACCGACAGTTTTCCCTACAGGTCAAGCCATTGACCTAGGAGCATGCAAAAAATTAGCCAGATATACTGAGCTTAAGTATCCTAAAGTCTGCGTTGAAATGACCCTCTGTTTTTCCCATAAAATACAAAGATTATATAGGGAAATACAACTGGTCAGTTTTGACCCCTTTACGAAGTTTTCCCAGATATGCCGAGTTTTTCGTGACACCCCAAGGTGTTCTCCTACCACCTCACAAAATTTCAAGGGGGGTCGTCGGAGGAATTTTTTTTTCGTAATAGAGCTCATATAAAGAGAATTTCACTCGCGGTCACTTTTTAGCCCTCGTCGAGGGCTTTGAGTGTAACCGACAGTTTTCCCTAAAGGTCAATCCATTGACCTAGGAGCATGCAAAAAATTAGCCAGATATACTGAGCTTAAGTATCTTAAAGTCTGCGTTGAAATGACCCTCTGTTTTCCCCATAAAATACAAAGATTATATAGGGAAATACAACTGGTCAGTTTTGACCCCTTTACGAAGTTTTCCCAGATATGCCGAGTTTTTTGTGACACCCCAAGGTGTTCTCCTACCACCTCACAAAATTTCAAGGGGGGTCGTCGGAGGAAATTTTTTTTCGTAATAGAGCTCATATAAAGAGAATTTCACTTGCGGTCACTTTTTAGCCCTCGTCGAGGGCTTTGAGTGTAACCGACAGTTTTCCCTAAAGGTCACCATTGACCTAGGAGCATGCAAAAAATTAGCCAGATATACTGAGCTTAAGTGCCCTAAAGTCTGCGTTGAAATGACCCTCTGTTTTTCCCATAAAATACAAAGATTATATAGGGAAATACAACTGGTCAGTTTTGACCCCTTTACGAAGTTTTCCCAGATATGCCGAGTTTTTTGTGACACCCCAAGGTGTTCTCCTACCAGCTCACAAAATTTCAAGGGGGGTCGTCGGAGGAATTTTTTTTTGTAATATAGCCCATATTAGGCGCCGGTCAGTCGAGGTCAGTTTTGACCCCCTCTCCGTAGACATTTTGCCAAACCGTCACCGGCCCTCGTGTTCTATCGCCATAAGGCACCTTCGTGCCAACTTTGACGCGCCTGCGGCGCCGGGAAGTGCCCTATCGGGCACCCGACCACTTTGCTTTATATATATAGATATTTATATATATATATATATATATTTACGTATATATATGTACATATAATGTGTATGCATATTGCGCGGACGTCCATAAGAGCAATATTGGTGGAAATATATAATTAGCATTAGTGATTAAGTGATAAAGTTCAATTATAAAGTGCAATGTGGTAGGTAAAACAAGGATATTTAAATGCTGCCTTTTATTTATGTATAAGCTGATCGTACTGTTTACTAATTATTATTTTTAATCAATAACAGTTTAAAAGCCGCCATCAAAATTTCCTATATGTTTACATCTTTCTTTCGGTTTGCGGAGAAGGCGGGGGTATTAAAGTCGCTCACCAAATTGAATCAGGCGCGTCTGCCGGAACAGAGGCAAGGTTCAATTTAGGGCCCTAGGCCAGGGGTCGGCAACCTTTTGAAGCGGAAGAGCCAAAAGTTACAATTTTCAAAAAATTTCTGGTTTTAAAGAGCCACTAACATTTTTTTATTTCAAATATTTTATTTTTTTATTAAGATTATTAGTATTTGTTCAAGGAGCTGGAGAGCCGCATCTTGATATCAAAAGAGCCGCATGCGGCTCGCGAGCCGCAGGTTGCCGACCCCTGCCCTAGGCTATCCTTTGAGAGCTACGGCGCACTCTTTCGTTTTAAATAGAGCGATAAGCTGTGGATATAAAGGGTTACTATAGTCCATCTCAAAATAAAAACCAGTGCGTCCGCCGGCGCACCGACAGGGTGTTAGTTGGCGTCGCAGGCGTTACCGTGAGCGCTATGGCGCCTACGCTGGTTTTAAGCAGTGTGATAGAGTATGAGTAAGATTTGGTATTATAGTAATTTATTAAGTTGAATCGGGTAGTTCCGCCGGCGCCCCGCAGGGTACTATATGTCTATAATGTAAGCATTATACTTTTATGTTTGTATTTAAGTTTGTGTTTAAGTTCTGCGTTATTGTTTGCGCTTATGTTTGCGTTTAAAATTACGTTAGTGTTTGCATGTATGTTTGTGTTCACGTTTGTGTTTGAGATTATGTTTGCCTTTATGTTTGTGTTTTTTGTTTGCGTTTTTGTTTGTGTTCGCTTATGTGTTTGCGTATGTTTCTTTATTTAAGTTTTCGTTTGTTGTTAGGCTTGGGTTTGTGTTTTTGTTTGTGTTTACGTTTTTGTTTTGTGCATGCGTTTTTGTTTGGGTTTGTGTTTGCGTTAGTGTTTAGGTTTGTGTTAATGTTTTGAATTTGATTTATTGTGGTTAGGGTTAATTCGAAAAGTAATGTATAACCTTAGCCTGGGCAAAGCCATGAATATGCTGCTTACTAAACAGGCAAGTCATAGTCCTTCACAGATAGGTTTTTCAAACAGCCCAGTGCAGGGCCTGGCCGGGACGGCTGGTATATATACATAAATTATTTATAAATATAAGCCTACATCATTTATGACATATAGTTATTTGTATATATATATATATATATATATATATATATATATATATATATATATATATATATATATATATAATATAATTGAAGTAAGATTTGCTTGTTCTAGATAGTATAGTATAGAGGAAATGCTTATATAAATAATGCAAATAATTATATATATATATATATAAAAGAACTAGAGATATTTGAATCAGTACCATTGTAAGGAATCAAGAATGAAAATGATGTTATGTCTGATGCTTCAACTTCTCGTTACTTCATTCACAGCGACCGTTCTAGCAGGTAACTATGGTGTAAATAAATGTTGAATTAATGGTAGATCAGCTTGATCTTTAAATTAAGTCTGCCTATTAATGAGCTAAATGTAACGTATATTAGCTTTTGTGTAGTTTAATATGTTGTGATTTTAATTGATTTATACTTAAAAAATATGAAAAAAAAACCCATTTGAATCTAACTACAATTTTTCTATCAGAAGAGCCTCGCATTACTAAATTCTTACTCAACGGTATGCAATATTCAAAAGAAAAAAAGCAACCCGTTGTCATACCAATGAAGACAGATTTCACGTTTCGGTGTGAGATCAACACGGCAAGTGAAAACACGAACATAACCCTGACAGACGAGATCGGAACGGTTTTACACAGCACCAAGAACACCGTAGTACTGGAATACACGTTCACACCTTATAAATGTGAGGCACAAGGCACATACAGGTGCCTGGTTAGGGACGGTGAGAAGATATTGGACGACTCCATTGTTTATGTTGTAACTAATACATGTACGTATAGTTTTACATATCTTCTATAACACCTGACTTTGTACGTTAAAATATATATATATATATATATATATATATATATATATATACATATATATATATATATATACCTATAGCTGATTCTTGCACGTATTGTTTCAAATATCTTCAATGAAATTGTAGAACTCCCCAAAATTTTTTTTTCAAGATGGCTGCTGTTGTCATGGCAACAATATTTTTAAAAGAGTCCCTGATGCTTGCAAATATTTTCCTTTAAATACCGTAACTTAAATATACACAAATAAATAAATAAAACGTTTTAATTAAGAATTTTTTTTTTTTTTCTTGAGCCTACCCCCTTTTAAAAATATTCTCTTTCAGGCTACCCAATCATGTGTAAAAATCCCCCCACCCCCAAGACATTTCTAGCACCAATAGGCAGCCATGCAAACATCTCCTTGTGTATCATTGCAAATCAAAGCATCTTCAACTCACTGCACATAAAACTCAACGACGTGAACATCAGCAACAAGGCGAGCACCATGCAAACAGAGAAGATCAAATACAGCTACGAGATTGAACCAACCAACAACTCGCCCATTCATTATCGTGTTAATCTTTATATACATGATGTTATGCATGAGGATTATTCTATGAAGACCATTGTAGCCAAAACAAGCTACCCATTTCCTATACCGTATTCTTTTGAGTTCAAACAAATACGTACGTATAATTTTCACAATCTGGTTTATAAATAATTGTCCGTTCTTCACTGAATTATACTGGTTGAAAATAATTGAAAATTATTGTCTTGATAAGCAGACTAGGATAATTTCAATAAGTAATTTTTTTTTAAAGTAGTGGAAAAAATGAGAAAAAAACAAAAAAAAAAACCAATATTGTATTTTTAAACTCAAATTTTAATTTAAAATAACTTAAAAAAGATTGTTTTTTTTGGTAAGAAGTGTGTCAATCTCTTTAAATACATGTGTGATGTGTATCATCTAACGTAAATGACAGAATGAACATTGAGTTTGTGTATGTATAATGATAGGTTGAAAATGTTAACACATCCACACGCATTCAAACACTAAGAGACTAACATTTAAGCCTAAAGACGTATTTAGACAATCGCCTAGAAAAACAACAATAAAATGTATATATACATATACATGCATATATATATATATATATGTATATATATATATATATATATATATATATATATATATAAATATATATAAATAAAGAAATATATGTGTGTCTGTGTGTGTGAGTGTGTGTGTGTTTTTTATGCATTACAACACCTTTAATCCATTAATGCATTACAACACCAACGCCGTTTTCGATTTGGCGCCCTGGACTTTTCCGTGAGCGCAATGGCGCCTACGTTCGTTCTATCAGTGCAATAGACAATGGAGTAGATGTGGCCTGATACTTGCTCACTACATTAAATCAGGAGCGTTTTCCGAAGCTCCTACAGAGTGCAATTTGGCGCCATGAGTTATCCCGTGAGCCCAATGGCGCATAAATTCGTTTTAAACAGTGCAATAGACTGTGGATAAGATGGGGCGTTATAGTTACTCACCGAATTGAATCAGACGTGTCCGCCGGCGCCCCGACATGGTGCTATTTTGCGCCTTAAGTTATGCTGTGAGCACCATGGCGTTTACGTTAGTTTTAAGGATCCAGGGGCAGTACGCGGCGCCCCTGCGGTAGTGCAAACGTTGGCTCCAGAGAGCGCCCCTCTACGTCCCTGACACCAGGGCGGTCACTAAAGTCTGTTCTACCTCACTATTTCGGTTAGTGATTAACGTGCACTCAAGACTTTCATGCGGTAGTGTAGGTAAACATATGCCCTGATTAATATGATCCAAACGTAGGCATAGTTTATATTTAAATAACTCAGTTTTAGAAAACAAGGTCTAATAATATAATATTAGTAATGCAGTGATGAAACCCTCTTAAAAAGTTACGTCATACTTTCTTCTATCCACTCTCGTTGTCGATGGGACGAGAGCACAGTATACAAATAAATTGCGTACATATATTTATAGAAACATATGCAGTTATTATATAAGCCTTATTAATAACATAAAATGAAAGAACAAATACAATATCGTGAGGATATATTAATATTATGTTGCATTTGCGAAAAGCAATTTGAGTTTTAACGAGTTATCCACAGATTTCTATTTTATTAATCTTTGTCAACGATTAGATTTTTACTTAATAATATCCCTTGATGACGTGATTTAGGTGTGGCTTGTCTATACAATATCTGCAAGACAATCGCGTGCTTTGCGTACACCGAAAACGCTGCACTTGAGGTGAGAGATGTGTGCGGCACACAGGACGGTCATCTGGCTGGGCACGTGCTGCATGACTGTAAGAGTGGTGAGTACGAGGAGCAGATCTTTTCTGTGTGCGGTCAAGTCACCGGAACCGACCAGATTATATATATATATATATATATATATATATATATATATATATATATATATATACATACATATATATATATATATATATATATATATATATATATATATGTGTGTGTGTGTGTGTAAAGAATTAGAAAACGACAATAGCTGAGTGAACTTTGGGAACTAATATATTCACTTATATATTGGAAGTGTTATAGTAGTTAGCTGAGACCCCACTCTCCTCCTTTATCTAATTAAATGTTATCTCTAATGTCAGAGACAGATTAAAATAACGACATAAGTTCAAGACTAGGTTACGGTTACTAGTGTTTCTTTCAGACAACTCTAAAGGGGCAATGGCTTACCCCCACCCGTACATATTCACTGACACCAATATTCCCGTTGAAACAGAAAAATAAATATATATAGAAATTATTTTTTTTATACTTTAAACACTACTCATCCCACGACGGTTGTTTTAAATGCCACTTTCAACCTCAAGAAATTTCAAGAACCACACCTGCCTGAATAAAAATGTCTTAAAGAAACCCTTTGGGCCAGTATTAGCATAGTAATACTAGCAACAATGTATTATTTATCAGAAATTAGATAAAGCCAATAAGAATAAAAAAATCAGAGGCGTAGCGACCCTTTTAGGCGCCCGGGGACAAACTTTTGGATTTGCACCCCCCCCCTCAAGATTTCGATTGCACCCCCCCCTCAAGATGTCGGTTTGCCCCCCCCCCCCTTGAAATTTTCAATTTGCACCCCCTCAACCTTTCAATTTATTTTTCCAACCCATTTTGGCGCCCCCTAAGGTCGGCGCCCGGGGACATAAGTCCCCCCCCCCCCCGCCCCCCCTTCGCTACGCTACTGTAAAAAAAAATAACACTTTGGAACAATGTTAGTGTGCCAGTATTAGCATAGTAATACTAGCAAAAATTTATTATTTATCAGAAATTAAATAAAGCCTATAAGAATAAAAAAATAAATAACACTTTGGAACATTGTTAGTATAGAGAAATAATAAGAGTGTATTATTTACGTCCTTTTATTTATTAGACCCAGATAACGCCTATTGGAATATTAATAAAACGTTATGTTAATTCCTAGTATCTATTGTATTAAGAAAAATGGAACTCTGATGAAGTGCTCTTGTCTGAGAGCTCTGGATGTGTCGTGTACAATCACAAAACTAAGTTCGTCCGACAGTGCACCAGGGACGATAACTCTAGCACTTTACAAACAGGATGTCTCTTATATGGTATGCCAATTTCGTTTTGTTAACAGAGAACTCTATTCTTTAAGTTTTATTTATTAAACACTATGCTTAAAAATGTAATAATGATTGCATTTCCAGACTACTCAATTGAATTTTTAAAAGTTACTTTTTTTTTGCATTTTCGTAAAGTTAGAAAGAACAACATATTTAAAAGTAATATTTATGACAAATTTGAATTACGTTTTTACTTGATTTGTTGCGGCATTTACAACCATTAAATTTAATTGATAATTATTTTCATGCTTATAATATAATATTTTACCTATTTTTAAATTTGTAATTTAAAATTATAAAAAGTGATACCTAAATAAAGCTTTGAATAAATGTATCAATTAATTGATCCTCAGCTAAAAACAAAGCTACAAATCTAGTTCAACAGACAAGTTTCTATGTGTTGGTTCTGTTCGCCTACTTCAATAACTGGTCTACGTAATTATATGTCATATCAGAATAAAAAAAGATATTTTAACGTAAAATTTACCGCTCAAGATTCTTATCTTCAATTACTTGATGTGTTTTGTTGACTTTGTTACAATTGATTGAACTTTACTTTTACAGTCATCTATTCGGGAAGTTCCGCGCCCCCTAAGAAAGTCTACCACCACTCCCCTCCCAAATAAAATGGAATTTTTTATAGAAAATATAAACTTTTAACACTCCCCCGGAGAAATAAAGTCTGGAAAAAACACTGAGACACAGTCTAGCTTGAAATCGTAAAATAGCTATATTGATTTAGGGTAATATTTCAGTTCAGAAGTAATTACTGGTACATAATATTTTAGTCATAGAAAGGGTAGAGTCCATCCGAGACCACACAAGAAACTTGGACAGGTGTAGCCACAGAAAAACCAATTTTTAAAAAAAGCATATAAAAAAAAAAAAAAAAGCAAAACGTGAATTAGGTTCGAAGTGTAACCACAAAAAGCAGTCAACACTTCAAAACTAGACCTTTTCTGACCGTCCTGCTTCTTCTTCTTTGTTTTTAATTGTAGTGAAGGAAGGGATCCCCTCCAACACAATAAAGTGCACGTGTCAAGTGGTTATGCGCCATAGCATAGCAGTCAGCCGTTTTTGGTCATTCACTTTATAGCATAGGGCCTACACAAGAGACGTGGACAGTAGTGACCAATTGCAAAGAAAAACACCATTGATTAGCTCCAAAGTGTTAACACAAAATGCAGTCAGCACTTTAAAAATAGACTGTTTCTGACCGTCCACTTTTATAGCTTATAAACACATGAGGCATGATCAGGTTTATGAAAAACCAATGAAAAAAACAACAACTTGTTTTCAATAAACAACGTCGACAAACTAAAAAGTACAAAATATCCCACCCAAGGCAGGTAATTTAAAGGATATAAACATAAACAACACAAATTAAGTTTGATTAAAACAGATTAAAACAAAATAGAAAACAAATGATTAACGGCTAAACGAATTGAACAGTGGAAGTTCAACTTTAAATACAAAGAGATTGATGGAAATGCTCCTAGGATGTTAGTAACTTCGTTTCAAACTCAAAATAAAAGTAATGGTATTATTTATCTAACCGAACCATTATAATGCAGATCGGATAAATGTGTATTGTGTTAAATAAATGTGTATTGGCTAAAAAGTGTCCACGAGTGAAATTCTCCTTAGATGAGCTATATATCGAAAACAAATTCCCACTTAGAAACCCTTTGAAAACTCTTGGAGATGTACATCGGCCCCAGGAGGTCAGGAAAAAAATGGTGCTACCCTCTGGAAAACCCCGGAGCAATGTTTTAACTGACCAGAGGCTATATTTCTATATATAAAATAGTATCTTTTTTGTAAAAAAAATAAATACAAATAACTGGACGTACAAACCCATTCATAACTCCTGAGGTCGTAGAAATACCCTCGGGGGTTACTATAAAATAGGCGTTATTTTCGTGAAGACATCAGAAGCTCTTTAGAACTAAACGGTCCGAATTCCCTATATAAACATTGCTACTTTGGTGAAAAGCGATGACAATTTTCAAAACTTTAGCTCTGTTGGGCCTACATCTGGTTCATTTTTTTTCCATAAACCTGGGTAAATGAATCGGCCTTATGGGCAGGTTAAACCCCCAAATTGAAAAATGCACATACATTAATTCAAATGTGTTTATATATGTTTGGATAGGTACTGTATTGATAAAAACATTAATAAACCCACCTTAAAGTATAATTCTGGAAAAAAATTCATGTTTTATGGTCAAAATGGGCTAAAATCACCCAAAAAGTTATTGTTAGTAATGTCAAGATTATTTAAGTTCTACTTAAGATATTAAAAAACAAATTATCAAGCCTTGAAGCTTTACTTAAAATACACAATCTGAACTATAATTATTTAAAACCAATAAAAACTTTTTTTTTTATGAATTTTTACCCAAGTGACTATAATTTTTCAAAAAAGTAGTAGGGGTAGGGGTATGTTCACAAGTCATAACTTTTAAACTCTAATAGCAAACTGCATAAAAATAGCATGTTTGGTGCACACTTGGGAGAGGAACAATGTCTGAAAGTTTGATAGCTAAAGCTTAAATAATTTTTGAATAATCTTGACATCCGTGTCAAAAATATACCAAAAATTCATATTTTGAGAAAATTAAGAAAAACTGAAAGATTTTACAAATTCTGATTACTAAATTGAACCTAAAAGCCCCCAGGTAAATATATATCATCTATGTGATCATCTGCATTAGTTACTCTAGTTTTTGAGCTCTTGGACATACAATTCTGGTTTTGTTGGACACTTAATGAAGACATAATTCTCTTTTTATCCGAAGCTCGAAATGACGCTTCGGCATAAAAACCACAATCTAAGCCTAAAAGTTTAAAAACTTCTCTGCGACCCAACTCCCCTTGATTATAAACAATAGTAGCATCATGTACAGCTATTTCCAACCTCTTTTTTCCTACAAAGACTGTCTTTGGACACCTCTTCCAAATTAAATTGTGAAAAGATTCATTCGCATTCTGTGTACCGCCGTGCAAACACTTCTCTAATAAAGCATTGGATGAGAGGATCTCAAATACTGGTTTAATTTCATCTGTTTTTAGGTAGCTTATTCTTATTTGCTTTATCCAAGTCCTTTTGTCCAATACACCACTTTCCACAATCATCATGTACACCTGTCCTATGTTTCCAAATAGCCCAAACAGCCTTTTTCATTGCAACAATATTACCTGCATTTTTTCTAATAGCACCACCATAATGACCCTGTATTCTCTTAATTGCTGATTGTGTAAGCCTACCTGCTCCTCCTATACCTTTATATTGCTTTCCATTCTCTTTATAAAGTTTTCCTTTGCATTCACTTACCTTGTCCATCAATCTGCGCCCCATGCGCTTTTGGACATGTCCGCAACATTCATACTTAGTGATACTCTTACCTGTATAAATTTCTGGGTTTGCATCTGCAACAGTTTTATAACTTTTGGAATCACCATCCCCTAGATAACCTACATAATTTAATCCATACTTTTCCTGTGACCGTTGAAATATTTTAAGAATTCCTTGCGGCTCCATCGCTCCTGCGGTTCCAACATGATTTTGCTCACACTCTTCTGCATGCTTTTCTTTCCATATCAAGAACTGTTCAGGGGAAAGCTTCTTTTTGCTCTTGGAACACTTATCACAGTAGTTGCTACTTGTAAAAGTATCAATAACTTTAGGAGGACCTTTAGGATTGACAGACAAGACAGTGGATACTCCATTTTTAGATACAAAGCCGCGTCTCTGCCAAGTGCCGTCACACGATACTGTGACATCTTCAGACAATTGAGAACTTCTAAGCTCTGATGCTGCTTCTTCTTGTACAGTGTTAGCAACTATTGCTGTAGCATTATGTATCCTACTTTTAAAATGATTGCTGCGAGTTACACTAACAGGAGGGGGCATATTCATATTACCTAATAATTTCTTACCTTGCTCATAGTGGCAACCTATTGAGTACATTGATAACTGAAATCTTAAGTTAATATTCTCATTAGAACTATTTAAAGTAAATGTTTCCTTACATTTTATACAAGAAAAGGAAACTTTGCAGGACAATCCACAATTATTTTCAGTTAAATCAAAACCACAATGCTCCTCACAAGAGGGACATGGAAATACTCTCATAAAGTTAACTAAATTTTGGAGATCAAATAACCTGTAACCTGTATTGCTATCAGAATAAGAATTTTCAACATTTACACTTGAGTTTAATTTCATAAAAGATGTATTTGTACTTATCTGTTCAGCATCCCCATGGCTACTTTCATTATCAATATCCTGGACAACATCTTCAATCACAGACTCTGTGACAGAGCTTCTTTCATTTTCCTTATCACAATCACAATCGAACTTTAACTTTTTAAAATACATATTACCGTGAAATTTTCTCTTCTTTGGACGATCATTACGTTGTTTTGCCTTTTTCCCCATTTTTTTAATGCTTATCTAGAATTATAGACTAACACAAGATGTAAACAACACAAAATTATGTGTTAACTGTATGAAGATATCCAGTCAACAGGAAAGCACATGTGAAATTTGTAAACAAAATGGCTGCCAAACGATTTTGTAAGAAAGCCTCTGATTGGTTGAAATTCAAATAAACTAAATATTTTAGCCTGTAACAACCAATGAAATCCATGTTAACAACGAAAATAGTAGTATTAAAAACTTGTACAGTGGTAGAGCTAAATATCATAAAACCGAAAAATTTTTTAAAATCGGATAATTAGTGAGGAAACTGTTGGCATTTTAAATTTAGGCCTATTTTAAAGAGCAAAAGTAAACAAAAGTGACCCTTCTAAAAAATTAATTAAAAATATATCTGATTGTTATCTTTGAAATATTGTTTGTTATTCTTATTCAGAAATGAATATAGTTTATATTTCAATCAAAAAGTCATATGTCAAATTTTTCAAGAAAAATATGATTTTTGCTACTTTAACCTGCCCTTATGGATAAACTATCGGTAAGCTCCTGCTCCACGGCAAGGGCTATATACATAAGCTATATATATATATATATATATATATATATATATATATATATATATATATATACATATATATATATATATATATATATGAGTGTGTGTGTGTGTGTATATATATATATATATATATACAATTCCAGTTCAAACATACTCAATTAATTATCAGCTGGAAGTCGTCATAATTTTCCGGTTGTTTCCCTTTAATAGCTGCTCAATAACTAAATCTATAGCAATAGTTTGAGAAATACAATCATAATTATAACAACATAGGTACAAAATGACTACTGGTTTTATTATGACAAGAAATATTCAAACGAGTATTTATTACTGATTTAACATTTACTATTTAGGTCTATCTAAAATAGGGATATCATTAGAATAAAAAGGATGCATTTTTAAAGATCTTGAATCAAACTGATTAAGTCCAACCTAGGCTATCTTTATCTTTAGTCACCCGTACGCAAT